AGCCTCATGTAGCAGCAAGTAATTAAAGGTTTTGGTTTTTGTTGGTTTTTTTTTTTAAAGCTAGAGTACTGGAAAATGTGTGGTCGTTGAAAGGGTATGCCTCACAGAGCTCAGGCAAAGACAATTTACATTTATATTCATATTTATCATTTGGCAATAGTGAGGACATTACGTACTACTTTAAAATAAAGTCTTCTAAGAATGAAAGAAACCATGACTAACCTTTAAGCTCTAGATATCTTTGATGCCTGTAAATAATGAGAACGAAGAGCTGGATCAGCACAATCAGCACAAACAGGACCCGGGCCTGCAGAGAAGTAGGTGTTACTGTGAAACAGATACATGGGCACAGCTCTGGTGAAGATTTTTAAAATGGCCTCATCAACAAAAATGAAAATGACATCATTAGCAGAAATGACTATATAAGAAAACTATGTAGCCAAAGAAAATCAAACATCTGATCTATCAAAAAAAGAAAATTATAAGTTGCCTCAGCATTACTCTTTCAGAATTTGGATACTTACACCATGTTGAAACCAAGTAATTTTATACAGATATAAAAAATGATCACATTAAAATAGTCCATTTTCATTGTTATAGGAGAAGCATACTTTGTTTTGTTTTATTTAAAATTGTATAAGAATAGCCCTAGCCAGTTTGGCTCAGTGGATAGAGCGTCGGCCTGCGGACTGAAGGGTCCCAGGTTTGATTCTGGTCAAGGGCACATGCCCAGGTTGCGGGCTCCATCCCCAGTAGGGGTCATACAAGAGGCAGCCAATCAATGGTTTTCTCTTATCATTGATGTTTCGCTCTCTCTCTCTCCCTCTCCCTTCCTCTTTGAAATCAATTTTAAAAATTGATTAAATTTGTATAAGAATAAAAAAACCCAGTGCACAGTACACTGTAGCTGAGTGAACACAGACTGCACTTTCTTTTTGCTTTCTCCACCAAGAAGTCATTCACTTGGTGATTAACTAACAGTAAAGAAATGTAATTTAGATCCTTGTTTCTCAAAGGTCATCTTTGGAATCATCTTGAGCTTGTTAGGGATGCAGAACCTCAGGCCCCACCTCAGCCCTACTGATTAGAATATGCCTTTTACTAATATTCCCAGATAATTCATAGAACATCAACGTTTTCAAAGCCTGATCTAAGTAGTTATTAAAAATCCCCAAAAGAAAAATGACACAAAAATTTTGTAAAAATTAGATACAAATACCCATTAGTCATAGTTTTACACAACACAATCACACAAGTAATAAAAGCCAATTAAAATAATAATCAATTCACAGTTTAAGTGTGAGGAGGTGAAATTAAAGGAGGTTTAAATTTTCTTCTTAACATTGTAGTGTATATCTTTTGAAGATTTTATGTTAATACCCAGGATAGGTGAGATCTGAGTGAAATAGAGTATAAATTTCCACAGCTTCTCTGGAACACTATTTGACAGTGTATATTAAAAACTAAAAATATATATATATACCCATTTATTTGCTCAAGAAATCTTTCTTGAGGGCCTACTCGGTGTTAGGCATGCCAGATAAAGATCCCTGCCTTCACAGGGCTTATGTTTTACTAAAGGAGGATAGACTAAAAACAAAAACAAAAAAACAATGAATATAATAAATAATAAGTAATTTATGTAATTATATAATAAGTAAAGTATACAGAATAATGTGTCAACTCTTTCACCTAGCAATTCACTTCTAGGAATTTATCCCCCAAAACTACTATATGCAAAAACTTAGATACAAGCAGTATTTATATAGTAGAGGAAAAAATTGGAAACAAACACCCAGCAATAGGGAAATGCTTACCCCTGCTGAGAGTAAGTGTTTCCTACAATCTCTGTCTGACTCATTTCCGTAGTAAGACAGGGATGCTTGGTCTCAAACATTTAAAAAAAAATGCTTAAGGTGTATCTATGACAATATAATGCAGTCAATAACATCATGTTATTAAATAATATAAATTGATATAAGATACTAGTAAAACAAATTCCTCCATGGGAAAAATCAGAGAGCAAAAGAGAACTAAAAGTTTACTTACTATTTTATACTAAAAACTCATATACAAATGTATATGAGAGAAAACAGAGTATCATAATGACAAATACAATGGTTATAATGGGTAGTGTGATCAAAGAATGATGTTGGAATGGTTTCACTTTATTTCTAAAATTTCCAAGTCTTCTACATTTAGCACATATTGTTTGTTGTGTAGGACACACAGTCCCTATAATTCCTTTAGTTATCCTGGTTTAATGGCATTGGTTAGAGACAGATCCCAAAACAGGTATTACTTGTCTATGCCTTTCAACTTAAAAACATTTTATTCTTCTAGATGAATAACTAAACTTTTCTTTTTTATAAGGTTCAGCTTTCTCATCACATGATTATGATTTTGGACCTACCAAATCCAGTAGAAACACACACATCATTAGGCTGAATTTACTCACCACCATGCAGTGATCTGTAAGAAGAATAAAAGATACTAGAGGGTCAAATCTGAGCTGATTATCCTCTTGAAGAGAAAATATGTGGTGAACACTCTTACTTCTTCCAGCAGAATCCTAGTTAGAAGCAGAGCAGAGAAGAAACTATCATGCTTTTTTTTCATTTATTTTTTATTCTTCCTACAGGCACTTTTACATAAAACCTTGTAATTCTAGATTTAAATTGGAAATATCTTTAGAACCTTGTAATTCTAGATTTAAATTGGGAATGTCACCATGTTCTCACAATATATTTTCTTTTTTTTAAAAAAAAATCTATATTTCCCTATGTTCACTGAAAAGGCCTAGAAATAACAACAAACCCAATAGCTGTGAACTAGCTGGGCTAGTGCCAATTGTGGTCTCAACGCATCATTTTTCACTATAAAGAACCAGTGCTCTGTAGGAAAATGGCTGATTCCAGTTCTTGAGTAAGAGATGCATAAGAAGGGCTTGGACTATCTTGTCATATGGGAAAGCAAAAAACCAAAAACAAAACAAAACAAAACAAAAAACTAACAAAGACTATTAGGATTGTATCAAAGGACTTAGTGACCAATTTGGAGATGTTCCCACTAGCCAAAGATGGAACAATTTGAGCATCAAAAAGAATAAATGCAATGGATTAAAACATGCTACATATGACTTTTAAAATGTTGCATTCATAATGATTCTAAAACTAGAAGACTCATATCATTATCTTTGGCAGATGCTAAAGAACAACTCATTATTCTGAACACTGGTTTAGAAAAGGGCGGTGGGGGAAGAATTAAGAATTTATCCTGCAGATATATCTCCTAGGACAATGGAAACTAAAGAGAAAATAAACAAATTGGACTACATCAAAATAAAAAGTTTCTGCACAGCAAAAGAAACCATTAACAAAACAACAAGAAAGACCATTGCATGGGAGAACATATTTGCCAATGTTACAACCGATAAAGGTTTAATCTACATTTATAGGGAACTCATACAACTTAACAAAAGGAAGATAAGCAATCCAATCAAAAACGGGCAAAGGACCTAAATAGACACTTTTCGAAAGTGGACACACAGAAGGCCAAGAGACATATGAAAACATACTCAAAGTCACTAATCATCTGAGAGATGCAAATCAAAACAACAATTAGGTACCATCTCACACCTGTCAGAATGGCTATCATCAACAAATCAACAAATGACCAGTGCTGGTGAGGATGTGGAGAAAAGTACACTGCTGGCGGGAATGCAGACTGGCGCAGCCTCTGTGGAAAACAGTATGGAGTTTCCTCAAAAAATTAAAAATGGAACTCCCATTTCACCCAGTAATCCCACTTCTAGGAATATATCCCAAGAAATCAGAAACACTAATCAGAAAGAATATATGCACCCCTATATTACAATAGCTAAGATTTGGAAACAGCCTAAGTGCCCATCAGCAGATGAGTGGATTAAAAAACTGTGGCACATCCACACAATGGAATACTAAGCTGCTGTAAAAAAGAAAGAACTCTTACCATTTGCAACAGCATGGATGGACTGAAGAACACTACACTAAGCAAAATAAGCCAGTTGGAGACACATAAATATCACATGATCTCCTTCATTTGTGGAATATAATGAACAACATAAACTGATGCACAAAAATAGATTCAGAGACAGAAAAACATCAAACGGACCGTCAAACCTCAGAGGGAAGGCAAAGGAGGTTGGGGGGGTGGGGTAAGAGATCAACCAAAGGCCTTGTATCCTTGGATATGAGCATGACCAATGGACACAGACAATAGGGGGGTGAGGGCATTTGATGCGGGTGTGGGTGGCTGGGGAGAGGTCAATGGGGGAAAAAGGAGACATATGTAATACTTTGAACAATAAAGAATTAAAAAAAAAAAGAAAGCATTTATCCTGTCTTTCTTGTATGAACTCTATATCTGGGTACCAAAAAGATAAGAGAAATGTTTTCTTTATAGACCTATTCTAATTAATACTCCTATAATAAGGAGTAGCAATTTGAATATCATCATTTTATAAATCTAATGAAATAATGGATCTAGGCAAAGATAATCAATAGCTGCTGGAAATCCTTCAATGAAAAGCTGATTGGATACTTCCCAATGAATGGAGGGATAAGCCAGCAGTTTGCTGGAGCTGGCTTGACTGAGTCACAGAACCAGTTGTTAAATTTTCAGGAATTTTGCAAGCCAATTGATGTTGTGTTGGTAGGAATATTTATATCATGGAAACTGGTATAAATCAGAGAAATGCTATGAAGCAGCTCCCACTCCAAACATCCTCCAAGTTGGTTGTTAAATATTTATCAGCACATTAGATAAGGTTAGCAATACCTGAATACACTGATCAATCTTAACCTTACTAACAAAGAGATGACCAGATATTATAGTCTTCTGGTGAAAGAATAAAACACCAAATGAAGTATTCTTGCTAAAAAAAAAAAAGACTCAAATCAAAAAGCAAAAAATCCAGAACACAGGAAATTCTACAGGATAAAAGACCCAGTTTCCAAAGAAAATATATTGCAAAGGAAAAAACAGGAGGGGTGAGAGACAGAAGAGACAAATCAGCTAAATGCAATATTTGAGCCTTGTTTGGATTCTGATTTGAATCAACTAAATGCAATGTATAGAGAGAAACATATATGACAAATTGGGAAAACTAAACACTAGTTGGATGGTTTGATATTAAGGAATTACTGTTAATTTTTCAGATATAATATGGTATTATGGTTACTTTTTTTTAATGGTTACATTAAAAAATAGTCCTTATCTTTTAGTAAATCATACTGACATATTTACATATAAAATGATATCGTGGTGCAGGAAGGAGAGACGTGGATGGGGTATAGATGAAAAAAGACTGGTCATGAGTTGATAACTAATTGGCTGATGGATACATGGGAATTCATTATAGTATTAACTCTTTCATATATTTTTTAAATTAGCCATCATACAAAAGTTTTTATTTTTTTTCCCTTTTATTAAGGTATTACATATGTGTCCTTATCCCCTCATTGCCCCCTTGCTCCCCCCCCTCCACTCATGCCCTCACTCCCCTGTTGCCTGTGTCCATTGGTTACGCTTATATGCATGCACACAAGTCCCTTGGTTGATCTCTCCCCCTTACCCACACCCTCCCCTACCTTCCCTCTGAGGTTTGACAGTCTGATCGATGCTTCTCTGTCTCTGGATATGTTTTTGTTAAGCTGTTTATGTTGTTCATTATATTCCTCAAATGAGTGAGATCATGTAATATTTATCCTTCTCTGACTGGCTTATTTCGCTTAGCATAATGCTCATACAAAAGTTTTTAAATAGTGAAAAGAAGCTTTGCTGGCATTTATCAAACTATACTCCAAATATTCTTACTTTCAGTGATAAGTTCTTGTTTTAAAGCAGAGATTTTCTTTAATTGAGATATAGGAATTTCTAGTCTTTAAATTGGCAAAGTAGATACAACAGTCTAAAATACTGTCCTCAACCTTTAATGCACCTCGGAATCACCTGGAGGGATTGACTGTTAAAAGATTGCCGGCTCCCATCTCCAGTTTCTGGTTCATATGTTTGAGAAGGAAACTGAGAGTTAGCATTTCTAACAATTTCCCAGGTGGTGTTGATGCTACTAACTCAGGAACCACACTGAGAATTGATCTGAGAATGTTTGCTGGTAGGCTGTCTGGAATCTATACTCAATGAATATAGTAAGTAGGTAAAATACAATATAATAAATTGATGTGATCTCTTACGAATTTTTAAAAATTGTTTTTATTAATTTTAAAGAGAAAGGGAGAGGAGAGAAAGAAGAGAGGGAAACATCGATGTGAGAGAGAAATATCAATCAGTTTGCCTTCTTTATGCACCCCAACTGGGGACCAAACCCACAACCTGGGCACATGCCCTGACCAGGAATCAAACTGGCAAAGCTTCAGTGCACAGGACGACACTCAACTGAGCCACACCGGCCAGATTCTCACAGATTTTTCTCTCAGACTTATCTATATAGCATAACATATTTGAAAGGACATAATGTTCACCAAGCCAGTGTGGCTCAGTGGTTGAGTGTTGACCTAAGAACTTGGAGGTCAAGGTTTGGTTCCTGGTCAGGGCACATGCCCCAGTTGTGGGCTCAATCCCCAATGGTGGCATGCAGGAAGCAGACGATCAGTGATTCATTAATGTTTCTATCTGTCTTTCCCTCTTCTTTCCTGTCTGAAGTCAATAAAAAATATATATATTTTTAAAAAGGACATAATGTTCCCATTGATGAATGAGGGGACCAGGCTCCCTATTTCATATTCAGTAGACTAATGTTTTTAAGTTATAACACATATAGACAGAAAACAGATCACTGGTTGCCTTGAAATGAGAGCGGAAAGAAGGTAGTTACAAAAGGGCACAAGAACACTTTTGAGGGTGATGTATCATATTGACTGTAGTAATGGTTTCAAGGATGTGTATGTATGTCAAAACTTACCAAATTGTATTCTTTATATGTTTTATATGTAAATTATACCTCGATAATGTTGCAAGAAATGTTAAAGATATAAAAAGTATAGTGATTTCACATTTTTACTAAGGATTCAGATAGATAACCAGAAATATTTCAAGAAATATGAATAAGGTTTCTTTCTCATAAAACTACAGAAGCTGAGATTCTGGAGCAATCCAAGGATTTGAGAGTTCCCCATTCCTACAGTGAGCAGATCTCCTATGGTTGCTCCTACTTCTTCCCCATGACACAGGGAATATTCTAGTTGCACTCATACCTTCAAGCCTTTTTTAAATGACCAACTCCTAATATGAAAGCCATTAAGCGTTCATCCCCAGCCATCCCGCCTTCCACATCCTCCCTGTGTTCCTTTTTCCTCCTAAGCAGAACACTTCAAAGACCGTGACATTGTAAAGTGCCTTCTCTTGTTCCTTATCTATGAATCGGGGATAAAGCTCCCCAGCATACAGGATTATGATATGGATAAAGTAAAAAATTTAAGTGCCTGGAATCAGGGCTCAGTAAACAGCTCCTTCCTGCTCAAAATCCTTCTCTGTGACCAAAAAAAAGTAATGAAAATAATTTCATGTGTTTTCTGAAGGATTACTTCATGTTTCAAACCAAGTTAATATTAAAAGATTTAACAGTTAAAAACTGTCATCAAACCATAAAGTTATAGATATTGATGGATTTTTTTTTAGAAAATAATTTCTGAGCACAATCTATCCCAGGGGTCCTCAAACTACGGCCCGCGGGCCACATGTAAATACAAATATTGTATTTGTTCCCGTTTTGTTTTTTTACTTCAAAATAAGATATGTGCAGTGTGCATAGGAATTTGTTCATAGGTTTTTTTTAAACTATAGTCCAGCCCTCCAACGGTCTGAGGGACAGTGAACTGGCCCCCTGTTTAAAAAGTTTGAGGACCCCTGATCTATCCCTTAAAGAGTTTCATAAGGTTGATGAAACAGCTCTATTTTGGTAACAATGATCACTGTCTACTCTGGCAGGTGCTAGTGAATTAAATGCTTGCCAGGTTAAATCAGAGCAATGCCAGGCAGACAATTACTGCACATGCTATGAATGCATACCCCCAAATAAAAAAAAAATCCTTTATTGCCTTGAAAATTTGCTGTCCTAGAGCTTTCAAAATAATGACACAATTTTCCTGTATTTGGAGATAGCAATCAAAGGCATGGATACATAAATACATGTTTTCTGACTTACTCTATTATCTTTTGGTATATTGGTGAATTTTTCTCCCATTATTAAAAGACACTGGGGCCACAGTTGAAAAAAACACAAAAGAATGATTCCCTGAAGTTAGAAAAAGGGGGGACGGTGGCCAGTAGTTGCACACTCTTTTCCTCTACTCAGTTTTTAGTCTAAAAGTAGAATTACTCCTGAGTGCACATTTTCAGACCATAACAAATCCAATGCATCCAAATTTTTATTAAACTTAGTTTCATCTTTACCAACTGACTGCAAAACCCCCCTTTCCCACCCACCAAATCGGAGTTCAGTGTGGTTACAGTCCAATCACATTTATATAGCAAATTGAAAATTACTAACTTACCTGGACAATTACTTCTATATTATGTGTACTATTAATGTAGTTCCTTGGGTTCCACTTCAGTGTGAAAATAGGACCAGACAAATGAGTAGCTTCCCCTAAATGAACTCCATCGATCTTAACTGTGACAGAAGTAATGGAGGATGAGGAAAAGGCCAAGACTCTGAAATGAAAGCATATATAAACAGGTTTTAGGTATTTGTCACTGTTTTTATAAAGGAGAATAACCTATTAAAACCTGAAAAGATAAAAGTATAGGCAGAATCATGACATGGTACTATTGTAGGAACCAATGGTGGCTTTTGGAGTTGCATAATTCAGCAAACCTGAACTGGTGAGAAATTAGAAACTATTCTTGAGTAGTTTCTGGAGTATATTTTGGAGTAGACCCAAAGTTCTTGCTGAAGAAACTCCTAAAGTCCTGGTTTTTCTCAGAGAAAGAGAATGTAAATTAGACATTTGTTCATCTAATGTCAAGCCTGCCATCTCCTTTTTTGGTTCCCATCCACTCATTTGGTTCTTCTATCTACACTAAAGAAGCAATGTTACAAATAAGGCTAAGGTTACCAGGCCCCAGAGAATATAATGCCTAAATTTGATATCCAGCTTCTATTAAAAAAAACACAAAAACCTGAGAAATGTATGTTTTACTTAACTAGTGATAAAAAAATATCTTAAAACAGCTTGATACCATTTTTTTCCAGATTAAGTAGTAAATCTTTTTAAAAGTACAATATCTAATAACATATAAATTAGTACCCGTTTTAAAAAGTAATTGGGTACCTTATTCACTGGTGGTGGGAATGTGAAGTGGCAAAGCCACTATGGAAAACACGGATGGGGTCCCTCGGCCTGGCCGGCGATCAGGGCCATGGGGGCCATCTCACCTAGTCCCTATTGGGGCTGATGGGGCCAGCCAACCAGGAGCAGGGACCACTGGAGGTTGGACAGCCACGGGAGGTTGGCTGTGGGAGAGCACTGACCACCAGGGGGCAGCTTCTGCATTAAGCGTCTGCCCCCTGGTGGTCAGTGCACATCATAGCGACCAGTTGTAATGGCCACTTAGGCTTTTATATATATAGATGTCAGCCCAATACATTTTTAAAATAAGAATAGATTGTGCCCTATTATTACAACTATGTAAAAAGATGCCTAAAAGAGAATGCCTACTAAGGGAAACTCAAAATCATTAATAATAGTTCTATTGGTGAGGGGTGGGGATACACATATAATCCCACGCCCTATTTTCCAAAGGTGGTTGTTGTATTACTTTTCAAAATAATATTTAAAAGAGCATAAAGTACATATATTACCTTAGCTGGTTTGGCTCAGTGGATAGAACAACAGCCTGCAGACTGAGGGGTCCAGGGATTGATTCCAATCAAGGGCACATGCCCAGGATGTGGGCTCAATCCCCAGTAGGGGGCATGCAGGAGGCAGCCAATCGATGATTCTCTCTCATCATTGATGTCTCTATCTCTCTCCCCCTCCCTTCCTCTCTGGAATCAATAAAAATATGCTTAAAAATAAAGTACATATATTTAAAAGAGTGCCTTTATGTTTGAGAAAGGTTTCGTAAGTCTCTTTAATTTACAGTCACATTCACATGGCAACGGAATATTTAATTCCATAAGGTTTATATAGCTTTTTCTTTTTTGGAAGGCTATGTAGCAAAATGAAAAAAATTTTTGATATAAAATATAACTTTTAAGTAGTATACAAACGAATATCCTAGAATAACCCTAGAATATGTATATTATAATTATAACAATATAATAACATGCAGATAAAATTTAAAAAGTAATAATGGTAGGATTATGGGTTTCTGGATAGTTTTTAAACTTTCAGCAGCATACTAGTAAATATATAATATATATACACATAAATGTATGTGTGTGTGTGTATGTGTGTGTGTGTGTGTGTGTGTGTGTGTGTATATATACATATATACCGAGTGGCCAGATTATTATGACCACCCCATCAGTACTTCATTGACACTTCCAAAAATACTGAATATCGAAAACTTCCTAAGCAAATACTCTCAAGGTTTTATTATTATTATTATTTGCATAACTAATTCACTTCATTGTACTGATGGGGTGGTCATAATAATCTGGCCACTCGGTATATATGTATATATACACACACACACACACACACACACACACACATACACACACACCGGTGCACAAAATTTGTGCACTGGGGGGTGGGGGTCCCTCAGCCCAGCCTGCCCCCTCTCACAGTCCGGGAGCCCTCAGGGGATGTCCTACTGATGGCATAGGCCCACTCCCCAGTCCGCTGGGGGGAGGGGGGGGTTTGGCGTGGCCAGGCTGGGCTCTGAGTAGTACCACCGCTGCTGCCACTGTCATTAGCGTCTGGGATGCAGGCACGGGTTGAAAAGACTGAACCACACCCCAGGTCTCTCTGACTCTGAGTTTGTTCATCTGGGAGTTGAAGCAGGAGGGGCCGGGCCCCACACTCTAGGCCCTTCACAGAGACATCTTTTTTGCCCTCAGTCGTCTTCCCCTTTCCAGGCCTGAGGACAGCAGCATTCTTCTTGGTTTTTTTTTTTACCTTTTTTTTTTTTTTTTTTAAAA